GGACCAAAAAAAAAAAAGGACCGAAATAAAACTCCACCCCTTAAAAATCGGAAGCGCTCAACTGCCGCATCCCTTTGAGGCCCTGAGGTGAGGGGCTTCAGAAGCAAGCCTTTGCGGAGTCATCGTCTTCAACCCACAAGGGAACGGAGGCATTGCTGGCGCTCTTGTAGAGCCTGTGCGACCTCCACATAGAATGATTTCGTCACGGCCGCTCCGAAGCATGCCTCACCGTCGATCTGCACCTTCAACAGCTTGCTGGCATTCGCAAGAAAGCCCATTGCAACATCGGATTGCAAGAGGAATTCTTCACCCATCTGCAGACGGACCAGCGTGCTTGCAAAGTTCCGAGCCAGAAATCTGACCTCACGACATGCTCCGCGATGTTGGACAGCTTCTGGGAAAACTCCTGCATCTTCCTTCGATCGGTCTGTGCATTTAGCTCTGTCTGCACCGTTGCACGCCGCTTCCAGAAAGATCCGACTTTGCTCTCCTGCATCCAATGCACAGCGAAGGATGGTCCAAATGTGTTGTATTTCAGGAGCATCTTCCGAATCTTCAGGCTGAAAAGGATTGGGCACATACGTGGCAGTGTTACTGCCCACACTGGCAACGTACCACTGATGACGCTCAGCGGGTCTTCGAGACACATGGCGAACCCCTACAAGGTTCTGGGACGCTACGATCTTCTCCCGCTGGTGGGAGCAATTCGGGCCCTCCAACACACACGCACACACAAAACAAAGAGACAAAGAGACAATGATACACACGATATACAGACAGCGACGTAGACAAAAAGACACCAGACAGAGAAGTGTTGCTATTGCCGAGCACATCTGCAGTGGTATCACATGGTATTACGACAGAAGTGCAGCGTCCTCGTTGGTTGCAGACTGCAAGTCTCTCCAGCACCCCCTGCTTTGTATGATCACGGAAGTCAAACCTTCAGTCAGTTACCCTTGGTGACAGGGTTGCATTCACGCATGCACGCATTCGCTTCCACTTCTCAAAGGATGTTCACACTCAGCTCACGGTTGGTTTTTTCCAGTTACGAACTGGTGGTTGCATGTATTGGCTGACACATGCTTATGTCACTGGCTTGCCTAACATGAAACAGATTGCCGCAAGCATGCATGCAAGCATGCTTGCACAACATACCTGACATAGCTGACTGTTACGGATTCGGTCAGTCCTGTGAATGCAGTCGAAAACGATCCTTGGAAATTGCTGCGAGGTTGGGTAAAAAAACAGCGAGGATAACCATACATCGCGAGTATGCTAGATGCATCGGTAACGTTCAGAACACTGTGCAGAAAAGAAGCCAAGGCGTCCCTCGACCATAGCCTGATGTGTGGCTGGAGCTTCCTTGCACCAGGCCGAGCCGCACATCCCTGGCCCTGCTCATGGAGAAAATTGTGAGCAAACAAAACGTGCACATGACGATGGAGAGTGACCTACCCATGAGCGAGGGCAGTTCTCTCTCTCGCTCTCTCACACGCACGGAGACACACAGACACAGATATGCAAGAGACATGCCAGCGCACACACGCACAAATGCAGAGACAAAGACACACCGACTGAGGGAGATTGTGTGTTCTGTACAGGGTGTTGTGCAAAAGATCGAGCTTCAAAGCTGACAGTTTTGCTGCTGTTCAATCGGCTGTCCGTGTGCTGACCAGGTCTCATAGATGGGTTGCGTCCCAAGCACCTCTCCAGCGCTGCACGAGAGACGACGAAGCCTGTCTTCCCAGCTTGCTGACGGTATTGAGCACCTTCACCGTCTTTCTGGAAATGCAGGTGCTTGTCAGATCCCGTCAGGTTGGATTGTGCCGAAGCAAGAGCCGCCGATGCTGCGCACGGCGATTGACTTATGTCAGCAGAGATCTTCAAGCCAGGGTTGTACCTGTCGTCTTCAGGAAAGAATTTGTGCAGTGGCAACTTGTGTCTCAAGGTGTCTCGATCGGTCTGGCAGCCATGTGCGGTCCACATTTCCCATTCAAGCCAAGTTCGGGATTTCAGGCTTCGGCCACACAGACTCAACGACTCGCTTCCCGGAGGCGGAGGAGCTGCTTTCTCACCGAAATTTGCATTCAGGTCCACGCGGCATGCCTCTGAAGTCGCCGAGATTCAGTTGCAGCACGCGTCTGCCCTTCAGGCCGTTCTGATGTTGACATACTTGCTACACCTGCTACATAACCCATATGGGCATCTAGGGACGAGTCTGAGCTCAACTGAAGGCGCTTCAAGGTAAAGCAGATGTTGCACTTGGACGTGCGCGTCTGGCAGAGGTTCCTCGCACCATTCGTCGCCTTCCTAATTTCCTGCTTCATCATGAGTCATTATGGAGCAGGTCCAATGCACGAGCTTGGAAGCCAAGAAGGCCTCTTCAGCTGAGTCCGAGCAGATGCGGATGGGTGAAAACGATCACGGAGTCTGAGAGGCACGATGTTTGGCAATGTTGGCTCGTCAAACGGAGGCCAAACCGTTCAACAGTGAATTCCTCGCTCGGCACTGCCGCCAGGCTCACGTGTGTTGTGAGTGTCTGTGTTTCTGGAGGAGAGACGCTCGACTGCAATTTGGCTTCCTAACTGATCATCCATGACAGTTCAGAATTCAGGAGCAAGGACCTCATTGATCACAGGATGCGCCTATGAGCTCAATCTCCATTGAGCAATGCGCACAGTCACGCAGCTTCGAAGAGCAACAACTTCGGCTTGTTTCCCGTGCACACGAGCGTTCAGCAACAGGATCAGATGCTGCCATGCAGCAGGTCCTCAGGCAGTTTCTACATCAGCCGCCATGCTACCCAGGATGTTGCGATAACATGTGTAGCCTTCATGGTTGGCCGTCCAAGATTATCACACACAAAACCAAATGCAATGCATGGCTTGTAAGGTATGCCAGTCGGCCAGGGAGCTTCGCCGAACGAAGCTGTCAACAGTGTCCGTGTGACACTGAAGAGTGGCCTTACTTGGTCTGTGACTTGAGACTGACAGCAGCTGGGTTATTGAGGTCTTCTTGCGTGCCTTTGAGGAGGGCAAGGTGCTGAAACTGGCGCGCTCACTTGAAGAAGACTCGTGTGTGCTCAGTCGTTGCCTGGCATGGTCTTTCACGGCTGGAGGGCTGCCTTCGCCTCAACCGGTCGAAGTCGACCCCCAAAACCTACCACAGTCTGTATCCCTTGGCGTGAGGTCTGTCTCGCCGAGCGGGCACAGCGGAGGCGGAACGAGCTGGAGGCACTTTTTCACCTACGCCGAACTGCCCCCAACAACGCAATAATCACACAGGACGCTTCTGTTACGAATTTTCCTGTCAGGCACAGCTTTCGGGCCGTGAGTCAGTGTGGAAGACTTGGGCTAATGCGGCCGCCGATCCCTGCGCTCTGACATGCTCTGACCAAGGCACCGAGCACGGCTGTCTTGGCTAATGTCTTACCAAACATCGTCCAAGTTGCAGGCACGATGCAGTACAGGTGCAATGACTGCGTTTGTTCCCGACTCGTAGAGGCTGATGCCAAAGAGCTCTTCTTGTCTTGGAGATGCTGGGTGCTAGCCTTCGTGAGGTTTGTGAAGTGTGCCACTCGCCGAAAAGCGAATCAGGCTTTGTCCGCTGGTTCCAGCGGTTTGCATGCGCGACTGCGCCTTGAAGAGGTGTTTGCCAAGAGAAGCCTGAGAGAGGGACGAGAGTCGCGACTTTCAGATTCCTGGCTGCAGGCTCGTCGAAATTCTGCGCAACGATATCTGTTGCAGTCAGTTCCCACGGTGTTTTGTTGGCGAGAGTGTTTGTTTGGATCTGCCTCAAAAATTCGACATCTGTTGTAGAATTGCTGCGTCCCAGGCAAAGGGAGCGGCACGGCTCCAAATTCACTCTGCAAGATGTCCTGGGAGCTTGGTCTCAGGAGGCCTCGCATTTCAGAGTGCTTGAGGGAATGGACCTCGGGGCGACGCGACCAGGTGTTGGTTAGACGCCATCGCGAGGCCCTGGAGCAATCCGAACTGGCTCGGGCAGTAACCCCAGCCTCCGCGAGCGTCGACGGCACCAACATGTAGTTTGTGACGAGAAGATGCTAGAAGATCTAGAAGTCAAGGAATGACCGGATTGTAAGAAGTAACTGAACCAGTCGACACACAGCTGGCCACTCCCTTCACCTTTGCGCCGGGAATGTGGCTGAACGTTGCACTTCTGTGCGGCCATTGCCTTCGCTGCCAGAAACAGCCTGTGAAATGAGAAGATGCCAGAGGGGAACAAACTCCCTCGCTACTTCAAAGCGTCCACTCACTTGGGCGAAGCGAGAGCGCCAACCCTGCCATCATGGGAGCATTGAAACACTGCGGCCAGGTTTAAAGCAACTTTCCTCTATCAATCCATGCTTTGCCCAGGTGCGACACATGCAAGCGTCCACCTCTCTCTCCTTGAAGTGGCTTGCTCTGCTTCAAGGCTCAAAGGAGGACGGAGAACGATGGTGAACGTCTGACCTATTCGATTTCGACTTTGTCACTTCCTGCCCTTGCAGGAAGTCCTGCTTTCCCGTGCATTCTCGGCTCTTCGGCTTGAGGTCCAGGAGAGGGTCCAGGAGGCAGTGCAGCCGCAGCGGCCTCCACGGAATGCAGAGCCATTGGCAGAGCCTTTGCGGAGGCTCGCTCAAGGGCGCTAAGTGCACAGCAGGCCTCTGAGTTGGTTTCCTGTCAGCTCCCCAGAAGCGCCTGTGCAGTCAGTGCCTTTGCAGAGCCTCGGTCAAAGCTGAAAGGCGCAAACGGGCGAGCCGTCCAGGCTGTGGGGGCCCCGAGCATCTTCGCTCTCGCTTGCAAATTTTTGCACCAAGTGTCTTTGAGGTACTACTCGCCATGGACAGAAGTGGACACTCGCTTCAAAGATGTGCCCATTTCTCAGTGACAGCATCTGAAGCAGTGCACGCTTCGTTCCGCATCAGGCCTTAGCAGAGTGGCGTGCTGCAGTTCATGCTGGCAAGACTGTGCGCAGTTTGCAGGCCATGTCATTGCGACAGCAGTATGCGAAGATCAGCGAAACTCGCGAAACAAACAGGACCACGAGCGGATGGTCTCAGCCATGCGCCGCCACTTCGATTGCATAGCCACTGGATTCTCGAGGCGGTCCCTGGTTCTGACAGGACCTCAGTCTGGAGTTCGCAGAGGTGCAGACATGTGCAACGATGCGTGCCTAGCCGCCAAGGAGAGCGCAGGGTCAAGTCCTGATGGCTTGGGCCCGTGCCTGTCGGCAGCGTGCCTTGGAGCACTTGCGACTACAAGAACGGGCCCGGGCCCGAAATCTCCGCAGGAAACTCGGAGGAATCGGAGTTCCCGAGGCACGGTCCTTTGATTGGCGACGGAAGTTCGTAGAGACGATATGCTGGCACGGAAAGGTCCGTGCTGCCGCTCAGGGTTACTGTGCGGCGTTGTGAAGCTTCTGCAGGATTGCGACGACCATCTCGCCTTCCACATCTGGCAGGCTCCATACTAACACAGTCTAACACACAGGTCAAGCGGTCGTAACAAGCGAGGTCTCACGTACGTGATATCGCTTGTGTCTGTAGAGTGTCTGTGCCTAGTGCCCTGGTATATGTCGTATCTTTCAGCAATCGTTCACCACCTCTTGTCTTGTGGAGCCGCGGAGTGCCCTACATGTATCTGCCACTAGCCATTTCCAACCCCTTGACTTGTTTGGCAAAACGCAAGCTTGGCAGGACTGAGGCAATCAGGGAACGGCAGTGCATTCTTGTCCCTGTGCTTCCACCGTCTCTAGCTCCTGCAGTTTCTGTTCCGGCATGCACATCCAACGAGACTGCTCTCTGCAAGTTAGCCCTGCCAGAGTGTGCTATCGCGCCACTGATTACACTACCTTTAACCGGAGTCCTCGATGTGCTGCTGTTATGATCATGTGGGCCAAGACACGTGCATGTTTAGCAAGCATCCGTGCCCAACTCTTGAACAGCTGGCAGCCTTGTAGACGGACCGTGGGTGCTAATACGGAGCTGGCAGCGAACTCCAGGCCTGGATCCGGTTTTGCCAACTTGCAGCCAGGCCCTTGCACCCTCGAGTCAGGTTCATGTTCCGCATTTTGCTGGTTGCAGCCCTGTGGCAGGGATCGTGCATCTGAACATTTTTTGGGTCAGCTGCAACGGTTTCAAGTGCGCGTCGCTCAGCAAAGCGGCATACGCGCGGCCCTTTGTTTCTGCTTGCCGGCTTGGGCCTGGGCAAGGAGCTGGTCGAAGACACAGATCCTCATGGTCGGGGCGTCGCTGCAGGTGTGCGCTTGACAAAAACCTCTCTGAAGCTGTTCGCCATCGTCGCCATCAGTTGTGTCTTGTCACTGGGTGGTTGCCGCAGAAACAGGTGCAGTTGCTCTTTCTGAAGAGAGCTTGCTTTGCAGCCTGGCGACGCGCACGATGTTTGGCGCAAGCTTCGTGCGATCAGCAGGACAGCTCCATTCCACCCGCCTTTCAATGAAGCCACCCTTGTCATCAATGCTCTGCAATGTTACAAGGAGCGTCAGCGACTTCATCTTCGCTCTGCACGGTTGCAATATTCCCGAGATTCGGTGCTGCAAGGCGGGCAACCTTGGTTGCAGAAGCTTGGCTGTAGCCCGCCAGCCGCACTAAACTTCAAGACTAGCACCGCGAAAACAAAGAGACAAGTGCCACCAAAAGAAGACCTCCCAACAAATCTCCCCCCATGGCGTGGATGCCGTGGAGGGTAGCCGCGCCGAGTTTCCAGGGTTCTCACTGACAAGGTGTTCGAGGCCACGCTGTCGCGAGAGCACAGCAGCACTGTCAGCACATGTCCGAGCTCCACTTCCCAAAAGACGGCCTTTGGCCTGCAGTGGCCTGCAGCCTCCGGGCTCACTGGAAAGGGGGGGCGAAACGAAAACGAAGGGAAGAAAGGAGAAGGGAGAACTTCGAGGCAAGCCGAACCCATCGCTTTTTTGAAGGTCTTGCAAAAAAGATGGAGGAGGACGCCGTAGGCTTCTGGTTTCGATTGGCCACTCGGATGCAGTCCCATATCCGAGCAGCCGAAGCAACATGAAGCAACCTGGACAGAGCAGGCCTGGGCTCTCTGGCGACGGCTGCGCCAGCGTCCAAGACGACTTGAAAAATCCTCTCGACCACTCTGCAGCTTGCGGTCCTGCTCAGGACTGGAAAGAATGATGGCTGAGGAGAAGCGAGTGCTGGCATGTCCTTTCTCTGTACAGCTGAATCACCTAAAGGAGTGCGACATCGTTGGCGCAATTCTGGTGGAGTTGCAGGCGGAACTGATGTTGGCATGGCATGTCAGTCAGCATAAAGAGCAGTCGCAGCGTCAGAGGAACGCTGGGCCCAGCACGAAAAGCTCCGAGAGGCGCAGGAGCGACAAGATGTGACAGGGCGTTGAACCGCAACATCCCACCATCGCCCCATCGGAGGAGCGAGCCGATCAAGAGGCCCGCTTTCGGACAGGGGCTATGAACCGAAAGCTTTGGAACGTTGCACCCAGGCATGCGCTCGTCTGGAGCAGCTGCCGGAGCCTCAGGGTGCCTCAGGTGCTGTGCTGTCTCGCCGCCATCCAGCCGCTAGGTGCTAGGCCACATCTGTTTCGGCTTGGTGGCCACAGCGGTCGTACACTGCATTGGCTACACTAGCAGCCCATGCCAAGGGGCCAAGAGGGAATCCGACAAGTTCTCGCTCGGTGCTAAGACGACTCAAGATAGCTCTTGCACGCCTGGAGTCGAGATGGCTTGACACGCGAGACGGAGATGGATGAGACGGGCAGATTCTCGAACAGCAGCTTATTGTCCCGGCAGGCCAACAGCGGGACACGGTTGCCAGGCTCAAGCGGCGTGCTGTGCGCAAACGTTCGTTCGCACTGACATTGCACTCGAAAGACATTGGGCTCAGAGGGACAAATTGAACTTCCAGGGTACGTGCAGTCTCATACACGACAGTGTGAGCAGCCTTGCGATTCTAACGAGGGCTGCAAACGTGAGCCGTGATAAGCCAGCAGTGTTTAACCAATGAATGCGGCGAAGTGCCGCCAGCCATGGCTCTGGCAAGGGTGCAGCAGGCTGTCACTTCTTGTTGAATCTTTTCGCGATGTGTGAGAATGGCACAGGTCTGAGAGGTCACAGGGATCACCTATGCTGCTTCTCCAGCTTCTGCCATTTGTGCACTTTTCTCAGTGTGCACGCTCTGACAAGCTCGCAGAAAGTCAGAAGCTAAGTTTGTGTTTTTGCATGATACATTAGGTTGTTGACGCTTCCTTTTTGGGGCTGAGGTGCCGCTGGCATGCATTGTCCGAATCGGCAATTCGAGCGACGAGCTGCACGCCTTCGCAGCTTCAGCCAGGACATGGGGAGTTTCTCGGCTGCGAAGTGTGGAGCATCGGCGCGTTATACCGGTGATGCTGGTCTTAAGGCAAATTGCCGTTGGTTCGTCGGCTTCGTGCCGTCAACTTCAGCCGGCCAAGCTGTGAAAGAGCTGCTAAGCTGCGGGAATGCTATCATGCTCGTACAACGAATGATCAACGAATGGACCTGTGCCGAAGCAGTGGAAGGCTTGTCAATGGATCGAAAACCAAGCTCTTTGAATCGAAAGCCAAGACTTCCTTGGAGGCTCACAGCATCTTCAAGATCTTGCACCACGTGCTTTGTTGCGTGTGCCTGTGGAGGTACTCTTGCATGCCCAGCACCTTCTGGGGGCTTTCCCGCGTGGTCCTCCGACGTTGATGTGCGGCTTTGCTGACACGCCGTGGCCTCGCCCGAGGGGTTCTTGCCCTGACGTTTCAGCTTGGGCCTGGAGTCAGGTCTATGTTTCTGATTGTTGAGAACCTGCTGTCAAGCTTGCACAAGGCTTGGAAGCGGGCCATGTACTGAAGCCTATTCTGAGCCTCTGAGCCGCTTGAATCAGGCAGGCTTGGACGCATCTTCTGACGTATTCTCAGCTTTGTGCGGGCATCGCTTGCTTTGCCAGGCTTGTAGTATCTTGTAGTTTTTGCAGTGCTGTGTGTTGAGTTTGCATGAAGTGCAGACAATACTGGAGATCCCGACGTTTCGCCCCTGTGAGACAATGGCTGCTGGACGAGCCCTTTTGCAACTCCCTCTGAGGGAAGCTGCCAAGCGATTGCAGGAGAGATCTGCTTGCTGTTTCCGAGTCTGCTCCGAGGGTGCGGGCGAAGAATGCAGGAGAGGGCTCTTCGTTTGGAATTCTGCGGGCATCGAGCAGAGGAGGTCCGACCCGTGCGAACTTAAAGCGATCTGCGAATAGCTCCCATTCTCTGTCGCAGAACAGGTCTGTGCTGCTGGCAGCACAGGACCCTCCCAGATCATGGGCATGCGCAGAAGTTAGCTGTTGCACAGTTTGCAGGATCGACGAAAAACAGAGTTTGTCTAGGCTCCTGGGATTCGATGAAACAGGCCGGGTGGCACGAAGAGGAAGAGTTTGACCGGAAATCACGAACAATTGTTGTCCAGTGGGTGTCATGTCATAGCACACACACGCAAGCCAGATCTCGGAGGAAAGAGCAAGCCAACGCACTCGGCTTCTCAGCGCTGGGACACGCGTCCTCAACTTTGTTTCCTTTGTGCAACCTTTGCACTTGCGAGTTATCAAGGGTAATCTCACCCATGCGGCCTATTTTGTTCGCGTCGGACTCCCGTCCCCCGGGCATCGGTTGTACCTGGTCTTGGTCTCAACTTCCAGAGCGGCAAAGAGAGAAGCCTCAAAGTCTGGCAGCTGCAATAGGACATCACGACAAGGCACTGCGGCACTTGCTGCTTGCGAGCGCAGGACCGGTTTACCCTGCAGCGCTGCATGCGACGGGAGCTGCTGAGCATCACAGTTTCCTTCCCAGTCGTGAGGAGTTTTCTTGGGCGTTCTCGAAGAGACTCGTTGCCAGGTCTATATGGATCACTGTATCGAGGCTTGCCACTGGCGTCGCCGTGGCAATGCAGGCAGACAAGGGTTAAAGTTAAAACCTTTTTGAGGGAGTTGAGTTGCCTTGCCTGGTTCTTTTCCAGGCCAGAAGCTCCTCTAGCCGTGCGGGGGCCAGCCGCAGCAGCAAAGCGTTTCCGCATAGCGGTGAGCGGACTGAGCTTGTGATTGCGTCAGTCGCGGAACAGAAGGAGGCAGTGAGAGATGCCTTCGAGGTTTTAATCGGCTCTTTGGTGCGTTCCCCCGCAGCCACGGTTTTGCTTCTGGGCCGGCTCTTTGTCGAGGAGGTGCGGTTTTCTGGCAATTGGCTTTCTGAAAGTTCGCAGATGTTTGCAGCGTGAAGCACGTTGCAGGTGCAATACCAAGTCTTCGTACCTTTGTGGCATTCTACAGACTCCTATGGTCGGCATGCAGAATTATCGGTATTCGATGTGATAGCCGTGCAAGTCGAGGTGTACACAGCTCCGATATTCAAATCACCTGGCTGCGACGACGCGATCTCCATCCTCCGTGGCGATTGGATTTCAGCGAAGCTGCAGGCGCGGGCCAGGGGATGCCAGGGGTTTATCAAAGCCAAAGTATCGAGTCCGGTTCGGCTCAGGTGGCCTCCGTAGAGGACGTGATTCTTGAAGAGCACTTCCAGTCCATCGTGGGATCCCGGCACATGCGACAGTGGTTCAAGCTGCGGAAGGCCTACGCCATGATGGAGGAGCGAAGGCCTCACAAGGGACCGAAGGGCATTGCATGCTCTGGCCAGGACCACGAGCGGACCACCGGCCTGAAGTATGATTTGGTGCTTTGTCCCAACAGCAAAGGTTTTCTAGGGCACCGTCTAGAGCACAGGTACTCAAGTTTCGGACGGACGTGGAGCTGGCTTCGCCCATTCGCCTCGCAGATTTCCCAGAGGCCAGGGAGTAATACAACTTTGCGCCTCCTGGAGAGCGGCACCCGCAGATCCTGACCGGTTCGGTGGTCTACAGTGCACACGACTTGGTGTTCTTCTGCAATCGCAAGGTGCAACAAGCATATTTTCTTCTTCGATCACCGCAGAAGACCTTCACAGGTTGCTCATGTCTTACTGAGCGACATCCTGCAGAAGCTCGTCAGTCGCGCTGGGAACGAGAGCAGGCAGCCGGTACGTGTTTCTTGCAGATGGGATCCTGCTGGGCCCCGGCATCTAAAAGGCACCCAAAAAGACACTTCTTGTGGCAGGCTCTTCCCTCTAAACTACGACAGACTCTTGCGTGCGGATGAGGGCAACGCAATGCCACTGCAGGTGCGATGCCGTAGCAACAGCTGGCAGTTGCGTGAACAACGTGGGCCAGCTTGTTGCCAGGTGTTTCCAGACGTACATTCGAGTTTTCGCGCCGCTGTGATTGGCTTCGGTCATTCATACCCAGGCAGGGAAGACGATTTGCAGCCAGCCGCACGTGGGATGCAACTTGCAGGGAATATGGTGAAATGCTTGTGTGGGCCCCGCGTCGTTGTGGTGTGGTAAGATCTTCCGAGCTGCAGCAAGATGCCAGCGAGCTTTCCCAATCTTGCACGCTGCTGCACGGTGCCGAACCTTTGCAGGTTTACGGAAACCTGTGCTTTGGGCATGGGCAGAATCATCCAGTTTCTTCCGCTTACAAAGGGAATGGTTCCCCCATGACAGGACAAGGCTGCCATCCTAGGACCTATTCATCCAAACGAAACGTCCCACAGAGACGCCCAGAGGCACACGAGCAGACAGCCACGCCAGCATTAGCAGAAGCGCCTGCAAGGACATAAACGACGCCAGAGGTCAGCCCGAGAGCCTGCCGAACACGACGACCACTTTGGGGGCACCCTGCAGCAATCATGGAGCTCCGCTGAGCTCGAGTAGATTCATGCATACGCAAAACTCAGCAGGGGGCTTGGCCACCTTTTGGCTGCCCGCACGATGCTTTAAACCGGTCACACCCTGTCATGCGATCTTGCACACTTGGAATGCAGGCACGATCTGCGTTTACAGATTCTTGTTGCTGGGCTTGGAAAGGCTTGGAACACCTGTGTGCCACAGGTCACGAACTCAAGGCAAAGGTCGGATCTTTCGCCCGTGCGGACGGGCGAAGGATTCACAGGGTTGGCCCTTGTCGCGCATTGATTGGACGTGAAGTCGAAGGTTTTCCGGCAACTTGCGTTGTACTGCAGTCTGTCGGGGCTATCGGCTATCGGAAGAAGGCAGGCAGTGAGCAACTTGTGCGAAAGACCTTTCTCGATTCCTCGGCAAGCATGTCTAAAGCAGTATTGTCTAAGCTAGCTATAGCGCAAGCGGACAGGACCAGACCCTTCATTTGCCGGCATGTTTTACCAGTGGCGAGCGGCTCAGTTTTCGGTTCATGTCTAGAGCCTTGGCTTTGGTGTCGGCCTCCTGCTTGTCGGTCACCCCCTTGTTGCCCAATCCGGTGTTCGACCCTCGCCCGAGCCTCTTCCTTGGCCTTCGACCTTTGTCCTTGGACTTTGCATCCTTCGAGCCTGGCCTTGGGCATCTTGGTATGCTTGCCTGTGGCGCCAGTTTTGCGCATGCACGATACACTCGCTGCTGCAGCCTTTTGCATCGCAGACTGTATCCGTGCAAGCTCATTGTGATCAAGGGGGCACAGCGTGCGTTCCTCGGATTCTTCCTTCTTCGGCTCCTCGAGGTCTTTGTGTCCATCCGGGATTCCGTGTGGTTGCAGGTAGACAAGCACCTTAGGCCTGCTGTTAGGAATCGGTTGCTTTGGGTGCAGGCAGGGCGTGCGTGAGCCTCACGCTCAGGGTGCAACACCTCGAGGGATTTTTGGTTGCACTGTGTTGCACTTCAACGGCTTGGCACTCTCACCTTCCGTACAGTGCTAACAAGACCCTTGAGGATGCGCCCAACTCTTCGCGGTACCGGGCCCTCGTGCTTGTCACTGTGCGTGTCTCTGGGCGCTACTTGAGAGCCTCCTCGGCTCCTGGGTGTCTGTGTTCGAGCCCCCATCGCGACCGATGTTTGGAGTTCCTGGAAAGACGCCGAGGTGCACATTGGGAGTGAGGTGCTTGGACGTGCCTGCTTTGGGCGCAGCCGTGTGGCTTCGTGAACATGCCCCGCTGCAGCCGGAAGCCGAGCAACCCGGGCGACAGGTTGTGGGGAGTCCTGGTTGTGGGGTTGTGGGAGTCCTTGCTACCTTGGCGCTCCCTGCGCCTGCTTACTCCTTTACCGGGCGATGATGGCCTGTGGCTTGGCTACGCGGTCTTCGGCGACGGTGTGGCTGTGCCTTAATCACCTTCTACGGGAGGGCGACACTGGGCGAAGTGGTGCAATGCGAGCACGCTCAGCGACAGATCGCCCGAAATTCCAGCACGTCCATGTGGACGACCCTGCTGCCATGATCGACCTTGCTTTCCGCGACCTCGCAAACACCGAGAAAATTTTCCCTCAGTCTTGCTCCTGCTGGGGCTGGCTGGCGCGGTTTTTGTGACACCTGATGGGTTGTGCGGTGGTGGAGCTGTTGCAGCCTATCATCGCGGAAACCCGATTCAGGCCCGACATAGGAACCTTCGTCTCAAGCTTTTGGGAACGGGGATGTGGATTCGCACCAAAAACACAAAACGGCCGTGTAGGGCCCTGTTTTGGAGCCGCTTGCAGCAAAAGAATTAGCTCTGGACTCCTGTCAGCAGACCAACAGCTCGATATCTCCGATGGTTTACTCCGCCAGCGGCGGGGCTGGCAGACCTATTTCCTAGCTGGCTTTTTCAATTCCAGGCTCCGTGTAATTGAATGTTCATTCAGCCCGACCTTACCCGAATGAGTTCGTGCGGTGGTAAAGTTGGCAGCCAGTCAAGCTCCATCGCACCTTTGCATGCCCACGAAAAAGCAAGACCAAAAAGCAAGAACTCAGGACATTTGCTGTATAAGTGTGAGGGCACGGGATTGCAGGATGTGTTGATGTTTGCCATGCCATACGAGTTTGGGCTGCTCGATGCTGCTCGTGAGGCCTTCTCATGCCGGCCATTCGAAAGTTCAGAGCCGACTTGGAGGCAGCCCACAGGCGAAGCGAGAGGGGAGAAGCTGCACAGCGCTGAGGCTTCCAACATCTTTCAGAGAGAAGCGGTGAGTCTCTTGCCTGTGCAACATGTGTGACTAGAGGTGCCAACGGTTTCTGGTCATTGGAGGACCGCTCAATTCAGAATTGGTCAACGAATGAATGTTAACGACCTCCACACTTCTACTGGTGTGGAAGGTTTCGAAGCGACACGAAGCAGTACCAACACTGGAAGCAGACCAATCGCCTCCCACGAGACAACGAAATGTGCTCGATGAGGCTTCGACGCAGTGATTGCTTGTTTGGTGCCGTCACAGTCCTGTCATGAGGCATTGGTTCTATCACGTCCACGCTGCAGAACCGGAAGTACTGATGCGTCTTTGGACCGGAAGCACCATGAAGCTCTCGAAGACAAGGCGAGCTGTCGGACCTTGTTGTCGGCCGCCAGTGCCGTGATTTCGGCCGTTTTCAGGCATTACCACCATTGCAACTGCGAGCCGCCAGAGCCTGGCACTCGGAGTCCTCTACAGCAATGATAATGATGCGAAGCGCGCCTGATTCAGGTGCGTGCCAGCCAGTTGGCCTCAGAAATGGCCGCCGTACCGAACAGTCAATGTCTCACACTTTGATGAGCACTGCTGCATGCCGCGAAAAGACAACCGAGCACGAGCGGCCTATTGAGTAGCATTCCTGCGCCTGGTTCGTACCTTTCGCTTTTGCTGAAGTCCGACTTGTCTGAGTAATTTCCGTTTCCTTTGCTTCGTTGCCAGGTGCACATTGGTGTGACATGCACATGCCTCTTCATGCAAATGTCCAACGTTGATTGACTTTTTGGCAATTTGCATGATGCCCCTCTGGTTTCAGCTTTTGGCTTTTGGTTGCTCGAGAAGGTATTGACAGGCATTTCTTCTTGCCAGTGTGTGCTTTTGCAACTTGAGCACAGAGGTAGCTGCTGGTGTTTGATGGTTCGTACTGCTGGTTGAAACTTTGCTATCTTGATTATTCAGTGCTATTTTGGCATTCGTACACCTCTTATTCCCTGTTGAGGCAACATGATGGCTGAGATTGCCGAGCCTGCACAGCGGCTGCCACCTCCACATCTTTTTCATGCAGCGCATGAGTCGCTGGTGTAAGCTTGGAGTAGCAGCATTGCGGCATCGCCGCTGAAGGTTCGATACGTGGCCATTGTCCCATCAAAAGAGCGTAATTCGCGAATCCGAGGTAAGTTTCATTTCCTTGGTGTGAGTAGGTCGGTTGAGCCAGGCCTCGTGGTCGCACTCGTGCTCCTCATTTTAGCCGTCTTGGGGACGCTGTATGTGAGGAGAAAGCGGCAGCAAGGGGCCACTTGGAGCTGTTTAGAAACCGCGGCCTTTGGCCGATGAGCCGGCATGAGCCTAAGCCCCTGGCCAGGCACGTGAGGTCACAGAGCCGCTCCAGGAAGCATGACCTTCCCTCCTCGCTCCTCGACATGGCGATTAGTGGCTTAGTGCACGCACCGGCGCAACGTGTCTTGCAATGCTTACAGCCAAAAGCAAGGCGGCCTTCAGCCCCAGATCGAGCTAAGCCAGCCGCAGAGAAATTGGAAGTGCACCTCCGCGATTCTGGAAGACATGCATCTTCACGGTTAGACACCAATCGCTCGTTCTGTTTTTCTGCCGCTCCCTTCTCAAGCGTTGCAGATTCAACAGACTTGGCTTTCGGGCTTTTTGGCCTGCACCCAAAAACAGGTTCAGACGCAGCAGCACCTAGCAGCACTTTTACGATGCTGCGCAGGTATGTCCGATCAAGCTTCATGCTACTCCAAGTAAAATGTGCAGCAAATGATGTCACGAAACAGTGGCTCTGCCTGTCGCAAAGTCCTCTCAGCATGTGATCATCACAGACTCTGGGATCCAGTAGTATAGGTATGAAAGATGAGTTGCTTCTTCGACACCCTCCTTCCCTGGCACGCGTGACGGCCGGCAGCTAAGTGTCAAAAAACGCAGAGGATCTTCGAAGGTTTTGGGGAACGAGGTGCATGCGCCGGCGCCGCAACGGAAGTTTGCTTTGCTCGCGGGCTTCGTGGCGGCTCGGCATGACAGCCTGCGTGACTCTTGTGCGCCTTGTGACATGACTGCATCATGGATTGCCAGGCTCTCCATGGGCTTGCGCTGCAATTTTGCATACAGACGTCCGGGCAGGCCTATCAGGTGGAAACCCGCTGATACCGGTATGGACTGAAGTAATCGTCAACGAGTTCTGGTGCCAGGCAGCTCTTGAGCGAGTCCGCAAGCTAAACAGGGAGCATTTCCTCAATGGGACGAAGGAAGAGGCAATGCTGACAGCCTGTGACTCGCACATTACGACTTACGAGTCGGTGCAAGTTTGCGCATGTGCAGATTGACTTAGTCCTTCTATTGCCCATTGTCTCCGTGGGTCTCCGATGTCGGGTTGTACTGTAGCATTTGTATAATTTATCTACTGTGGATGAATAACAACTTGACAATGACGTCTTGGGTTCACTACGCAGCTCTCGGTGGCAATATACTGTCTCAGCCTTGATGCAATGGAACGCAGGACAAGATTCCACAAGAGCAGCTGCCTTCCGAGTGGGCCGGAGGCTCTGGAGGGCTTAGATCGCCTGCAAGGTGTTTTGGCATCGCCCTTTGCCTCTTCTCTCGGTTGCTGTGTGGCACAGCCTGTTCCGAGGCCCCAAATCCGTGGGCGAGCGCATCCCTCTTTGCGACGACGCTCTGCTGCAGTTTCGACGAATGCAATGACTTCCTTTCGCACACACGTCTGAGAGCTCAGGATCTCCCTGCATGTCTTTTTCCATCTTGTCTGCCATTGGAAGGCATCTTGACTTGACACATCGTGCAGAGAGCTTCATGGTGCCTGCAGGTCAGTTTCCGAGCCTCCATGTTGTTCCAACCTGCTCGCAACGTTCGGGAAGGTTTCTATGTCCAGGCAGTTGTTGATGCTTTGGAAGCTGCCGTCTGGGTGTCTCTGCTTCAGAGGTCACTCCGCTGCCGCTGTTCACTCAGACGACCAGTCGCCGGTTGGAACTGCGAGGGATGAAAACATGCTGGCGGCTGACAATCAACGAGGCACCGTGGTCGGCCGGCTTTGGTGCCCTTGAAGTGCGAGCCCCTGCTGCCCGAAAGAGAACGCGGGAGCGGGTCCCGTGGATCCTGTCGGTAACGGTAGGGAGGACGGTCGTCTCGACAGGTTTTGCGAGACGACCCTGCGCCTGACCTTCATCTTCCAGCGCCAGCACTACGAGTGCCTGGAACCGGGCCCGACTCTCCGCTTTCCTCTCGGATGCTCGAGACGGAGCTGTAAGTTGCCAGGCGAGAACGGCACGGATCCCGACGATGAGGCGATTCACGGGTGTTTCTTAGGAGTGGGAATCATTGCATATCATTGCATTGACATGGGAAAGTGGGCCCACTGAAACGGAGAAGAGCGTCAGGTTTCAGGGGTTGGGGGAAATCTGAGGATCAGTTCGTCAGCAGCATTGATTGCGTTGATTGTCAGGAAGCTTGCAGGCAAGATGTTGTAAGACAACGTATGGTTTTCCGAGTCGGTTGGGCTTTCGAGACGGCATGCCGCTCGGTTCTCTTGCGGCCGTGCCAGTTCTGAACCATTACCCAGTCCCGACTGTTTTGGTAGGACCTTTCCCTTTCGACTTGAGCCTCCAGAGCTGTTTCCTTACCAGCTCGTGCCTTCCTCATGTTTGTGGCAGGTCGGTGAGGTTCAGTTGACGCCATGTCCGGTCTCGGAGCCGCTCTCCAAGTACCTGCAGGCCTGCATAGACTCACGAAGCTCAATAAGAGGCGCCGTCTTGGAAGTGCTTTGAGGCCACTGGCATAGGCAATGATGATGCTGAGCATCTGAAGAGTCGCTTTGGCGACAACCTGCTGGAGGTCACCGTTTCGGGTCTCTCTGTGGTGATGCTTGAATGTGGGTGAGAAGGTGGAGCTCCCGAGCTTCTTCCAGTGCTACAAGGCCAGCCGGCTACCGTTGATGGCGTCGCACGTAGCAGCGTAGCAGTCCGTAGCAGGCAGTAGCGTGATTGAAGCGATGGCAGTTACTAGCAGAGGTAAGCCTCGGCTCGTGCTCGGCTGTGTTGGGAGCCAGGAGCAGCTTTTGTCGCCTTTGGTCATCTTCCAGGCACCGCAGAATTGGCAGATCCCTCTCCTTGTCGTTTGCGTTTTCTTGCGCTTTTTTTGCGCTTTTTTGCGCTTTTTGGGCTTGTTGCGCTTTGCTCAGCTTGGCTCAGCTTGGCTCCGTTGAGCCAGGTCTTTGTGGCCCTCATCTGGGCAGCTGACGATTTCTTTGGCTACACCTTGATGCAGTTACTGCCCAAGGCTCAGCTTTTCGCCAGTGGACATGGTCAGCAGCGGGTGCTGCTGGATGCTGTGTTGACCGAAGGCATAAAGGCTCTTGCAATTGGAAACTCGCAAAGAAAGACCGAATAGTTTCGTGCTCTGCCGGGCGGCATAGCCGACCGCATACCAAGAAAACCAGTCGCTCAGGTGGATGAAGTTCTAAATGAATCGTGTTTCATGACATGTCTCATGCAGTGAATGCAGGGAGTGGCATGGCACCCAGGCGTTGCCGCAAGCGCGTGCTTGTTGGACCCAGGTTCATTTTGACGATGGAGTCCACAAGTGTTTTCCAGCGGCTGAAGACGATGAAGATGCTCAACAGCATGGGCACGAAATCTTATGGCATCATGGTGAGCCCTGACCAAGTGTGTGGTGGAGCCAGTGAGAATGTAATTCGCCAGGTCTTCCGAGGGGGATCTTGGGTCGAGAAGAGCCTGGCGCTCGGGCCTGCAAAGACTTCCGTTACGGAGCGGGTCTCGAGGTCCATAAACAAAGTGCGAGTGGGATCGTAACGGTCGGCAGGCAATCTGTGGGCAGCCTTGAGCAGGGGCCTTGAAACAGCCCCCTCGTTTAGGAAGCAGCAATACTCCAACCCGAGCCGCACAACTTCCGAGTCTTTGTGTTCAGCATTTTGGTCTACTCTTTCGTGTCTGATCTTGCCTGGATCCGTCTCGTGACTGGATCGCTGGCTGGTTGAGTCGAGAAAACTCTAAATGCCATGAGGACTCCGGCAGTCTGCCATCGTCTGCCTTGGAGGTTGATGGCTTCTGGTCACTTTTCACCATTTCAGCCTAAGCCAGTCTTGTTTGAAAAGTGTCGCCGCCAACACAAGGATCTGAAGCTTCAATCCGTCCAACGCAAGTCTGATCGGGCTGTAAGCCACCCAAAAGCAGATGCAGCGAGGAGATAGCGAGTCAGTAAACCCAGGGCCGACAAGTGACGGACAAGTTCCACAATGTCCGCTTCAGGAGCCTTCATAGACAAGTAGCAGGTATGAGTAGCAAGAGAGTCCAGGTTTCTGGCTAAGAGAAGGGAGCTGTTGGTTGTCCTTGGGCACTTCAAGCGGGCGTTCTCCGCTTGGGTGCTCGTGCTGCTCCTTGGCCTAAGCCGTCATCGCGCCTTGGGTGAGAGCTTCGAGTCTCGGGTGCTATTATTAGCCGTATTACAAACCCAAGACATCGGAAATGCAATTACTTGCGGGGTTTCGCATTGGGAAGGAATTGCATGTTTTGAACAACAAACGGTCGCCACTTCAGTCATGACGGTGGATCGTTGCCGTCGAGTAGCCTAGTGCGCACTGGGAGATGCAGAGGCACGTCCGATCTGGTCCCCGGTGACCTCATTGAGCTGGTGACGGTCTGCTGCTGCGTCAGCCTTGGGCTTTACAAGTTGCTCCTGTTGAGCAGGTTGCTCGTCAAGAAGGGGCCGCTGACAAGGCCCGCGATCCAACCTTTGGAATAAAAGCCATGTCTTTTGACTTTTGGCATGCGGTTGCGAACAAGGTTGCGCCGGACATCGTGCCGTGCGACTGCGTGCTAATTCGGGGCGAGGCTTGGCAATGGCTGCTGCCTTGGCGAGCGAACTGCAAGCCTGGTAGGCCGTTGCAAGCGAAGCCAGCCTGACTGGAGAGTCTGCGCCGCAAATGAAGGATGCTTTGGTTCTCGAGGAGTGCTCCGCAGTCCATGGTTGTGGGGATGTGTGGGGAAAGATCAAGAGGGTGATCAAGTCGAAGGTGGCAACAACTGTAAGTCGCAATGAAGCCTCACCAGCCCCTGTTGACAAGTCACAGGTTCCGTGCATCTATTGACTGTTGGTGACATTGGTGCCGGTGCACGGCTTGGGTCTCGCACAACCGTGGACCAAAGAGTCCCCTAGTTGCCCGAGCCTGGTTCCGCTCTCCGATCGCAGCATCTGGGTCCTTGAGGCTTCAAGTGGAGGGAGCTAAACCGCTCGTCATTTCTACAGGCCAGCCTGTAATTATGCTTAAGCAAGGATGTGCAATCCTGTGAATGCCAGATTTACTTCCCTGCTCGTTCTTCCTGAGATGCCGTTTCTTGGAGTTATTTTCCGGTGCCTGCTGTTTCTTTACCTTTGCTGTCCACTCGCCGGCTAAATAGTGCCTTCAGCCAGTCCACCAGCTGGATAGGAGCAAATGGACTTGCTAGATGAAGGTTGTTTTTCCGATTTCTGCCTTCGTGCTTCTGGCGAAGCCGCGGTTACCAGCCCTTGTGTTGCCACGGGTCTCGATTGCATCCGACTGACCCGCTCCTCGTACCATCAGTTGCTTGGACGAACTGGCTGATTTGGAGACCTCCTTGCTCTCGTTTTTCAGTCATGTGCATGCAGAGCCACTACCGACCGTCATCGTACGGCATGGTTTTGATGCTCCCCTTCAGGATCCTTCAGGTGATCTCAGGGGGAGGCTACTGGTGGCTGCTGTCGGCTGTCGTGTCCCATGGCAATCAATCTCCACCCAAACGAACAGTGTCTGTAGTAAAAAACTTGGTCAAACAGGATCTCATGTACCTGCCGTCAGGACAGAAGCTTGGATCTGCAAGGAGCAGATCGTGTCCACTGCTTGTTCTCAGGCGCCCACGTGGCAGTAGCAAGCTCATCAGCAGGCCGTGCTCGCAATGCTAGGCACCCGTATTGTACGAGCATCCGCAGGAAGCAACAAAGAAGCGCTGCCCCTTTTTTGGTTCAGCTTTGCGTTGGAAACCAATACAGTAAACCTGAAGCTGTCAACTCAGGTGGATCTGGATGCAGGCGTGGGGCCTGAATGCAGCTGCTGCTTAAGAGTCTGCTTGCGTCCATCGGCGAAGCATCGACAGGTGGTGCTCCTGCAGCGTCACAGGCCGACAACATCCGACATGATCGCCTGTATCTCACGTGTAGCGGCGTAGCGGAGGTACCGGCAACTCCAAATGGAGGCAGCTTGGTTTTTGTGGTCAGTGGCCTAGCGCCACGAGCATCTCGTCCAGGCGAAACGACTTGCTTTGCTGGTTTCTCATGGACATGCCGATTTGCATTCACACTGAGGCTCGAACAGGATTTGCATCCTCGCAGGGGCAGCTTCTTCAGATGATCGAGTTCTCGCAGGACAAGGTGGTATTGGATTCGGCGAGGCGGTCATGTGAAAAGTCGGCAATCTAGTGTGCAGGTCTCCGGAGATACCAAGGAGGCCAGTCTTGCATGTGTTCATGGGGACCGCGCACGCTGGCACAGACCCTGCAGGTAATCATTGCTTTGTTGATCCTGCTGGGCTTTGCTCTCGTCGCTGCAGGTCCCAGGGGACATGCTGGGTCAAGTGTAAAGCAAGATTGGGAGATCTCGCAGGCTACGTTCTGAAAGTTGGTTTGGAGAAGGGCGACAAAACCCCGCACGAGCTGCTGATCAAGTCAGTTGCCGAGACGAGACGGAGAAGAACACAAGTCAAGGCCAATCTCAGTGACAAATTGAGGTGCGTACTCATCCTTACGGCTGTGGTGCCAAAGCAGCTGCCGATCCAGACAGCCATGGCGGTCAATACGGTGCTTCCCTTTGATCACTTGTCAAAGGCCAAACTTGTGACGTCGTGTCGTGACAGGCCCTGATGGCCCTCTCTCGGACGGGAGTCTACTGCACTGAGCCATATCGAGTGCCTCTTGCGGGCAAGGCATTGGGCCCTTCTCATCTGACCAGCCCTGGTTCCGATCCCTTCCCGGATGCACATTGGCAGTTGACACATTGCCTTTTCGACAAGACCGGCACTCTCACCACCGACACTTTGGTGCCTGTAGGCTCACAGAGCCCCGTGTTGCTTGCTCACACTTCTGTTTCATGTTGTTTGATATCGTCCAGCCCAGAATGTGCTTGACGAAGGCGTGGTAAATGCCAGCAGCCAGCCTGAGAAGGACGGCCACCAACATCCTCCGAAGGCAATTCAGCAGTCGAAGCTAAGACCAGCGGGTTCGAAATTCAACTCTCAATTTCACAAGGTGAAGGTCTCCGATGCAGATGCAGCAGCAGCACTTGTACTGGCGGCTTGTCACTCCCTGGTCCCTCGCTTGAAGGTGATCTGGAGAATCCTTCTGCAGTGAGGGTCAGAGAGTTCCCAGGTCCACGTTGATGGCAAGCTTTCAGGAGATCCCATTGAGGCCTCAGCGCGCTTCCACGTTTCCATGACACTTTACCGCGTGATGTGAGGTCGCCGCTCTCCAAGGCGTTGGTTGGGCCTATGATTCACAGGAAAGAAATTCAGCTGTCTCGGATGGCTTCTCGCAATTCTGCCAGAGAGGAGGAAACTGCCACGCCTGCGCAGATTCCAGCGAGCACCTCAGCATCTGTTCCTAGAGTCCTAGTGAGTGCGCGGAAGTGGGTTCTTGCTTGACAGCCAGTCGATTCGAGGATAGTGATAGCACCGATGCCAGCACCAGCAGTCGTGCATATCTTAGTTGCTTTGGGACATGGCCTTGTGTAGCCGGCCCCTCTCTCTCGCTCTCTGTCCCTCTTACTCGCTCTCTCACTTTCTCACACAGAAAGTCAGACTACGCCGTCAGCGGGGCTTTCGACTGTAAGACGCCGTCAGCGGGGCTTTCGACTGTAAGACGCAGCCAGCGGGGCTTTCGACTGTAAGACATCTGCCAGGTGCTGGCATCCACCGCACACGGATTTTGCAGCCTATGCCTCGGCAAACAGCCGTTCGGTTGCCAAGAGACTTCGAGTTCGGAGCTCCAGCAAAGTACTGAGGCGTTTCCATTTCGCTTCGCAGCTGCAGCGAATGGCTGTGGTTGCAGAGGCCGACGGACCTGCCGGATCATAGCGGCTTCATAAGTGGACCTTCTCGGATACGTTGAGGAGAAACCGAGCTAACGCAGCAGCGTGTCCAAGCCGTGGCGCTGATGTAACATGTCTAACTTGCATCGTGGCGCCAGGTCTCTGGTACTGATGGTACAGCTGTGAACCTCAGCATGAAAGGCCGGTGCTCCATCGAAAGCGGACCAAACAGACTTGTCTGTGACCAAGAGGAGGTGGCGGCAACTATGTCCTCGTCAAAGGGTCGCCGGAGGTGCCAAAGAACAACGTATAACAACGTGTCCATGAGATCCATGAGAAATCAAGTGGAAGGCCCTGAAGCCACTCCTGGCTGCAAATGCTGCGCCGGGGCCGGGCCGATTAATACTTGTGAGCGTGTGATGCAGCATACCATGTTACCGCCGATACCGTCCCCACTCTCTAAGCAGCCTTTGTATCCATGGCGAAGGTGGTACGACAGATCTCACTTGGACTTAGCAGAGCGTGGTCTCCGGGATCTCCTCGCTTGTTTGGCGAGCGCGCTTGCATGCAGACGCCAAGCCGCAGCCGCCAGGTCCTCGCTCTGGCATTCAGGCAGCTGCCGGCGGGGCAGGAAAAGTTGACACGGGAGGAGGCACGGAGAGCAGAGAATTGCGAATCTGTCGCGCTCGCATGCGCCGGCTGCCAGGCAGAGCGGGAGCTCGAGTTTGCAGGCTTCATCGCCTTCGAGTGCCTCGTCCGAAAGGACTCTGGGCTCGTCGTTGGAGCTCTTCAGGAGTCTGACCACAAGGCCCATGCCAGCTCTTGCCTGCCAGTCTCCAGGCTCTCTGATCTGAGAAATCTGACGCATGCAGGTCATTATGGTGACCGGCGACTCGCCACTGACGGTCCCTTGTCTCCGGAAGTGACGTACTGGAAACGTGACGACAACGCCCTGGCTGCGAGGCGCTTCACATCGCGCGGACTTGCGGCATCTCCCATCCGCATCTGCCTGGGCTGCTCCTGTCACTGCAGGCACGCTTCATGAACCAGGTTCCTCACTTAATACAGTGCCAAGAACGGTCCTGCGTTGCTGAAGGCCGGAAGCCCATCTCCTGCATGGGCTGTGGCCACAGGCCAGGATTGCCGTACGTACATGCTGCAGAAGGTGAGGTGCTTGCCTGTGCAGGTGATCGCTGTGGTGATTCCATCCCTCTCACGGTTGACGGAATCACGAAGCTGGCGAACGAGTACGCCCTCATGGCGACAGGATGATGCTTCTGCAGCCTCACGTTTGCTTGCATCTTGTTGCTCGTATGCCCTGCTTGCTGCACTCATTGTGAAACTTCCTCACCGGATCGGATGTCCCGACGTTTAGGCACGTTTAGGTCTGTGACTGCACGTTCGTTTCGTTTCGTTTCGTTTTAGTCGTGACTGAAGTGCTTTGCTTGGAGACAGATTGCCATGTCGAGCTGGACCCACAGGGACAATCCAGTCATTTTTACGAATATTTATCCTTTTGTGTGGTGCATTCAGCCTCCCTCTCTCTCTCTCTGCACAAGTCCGGTCTACGTGGCGGTAGGCCTAGTTTCCAGCGGTGACCACAACCCTTGTTAAGGCCGGGCTACGGCAAAAAGGGAAACTGTCAGTTAGGCCCGGTAATGTGCCCACCAGCAGGAGTACAAGCCCTTCCCCGATGCCTTTTCTATTGTGCTGTCGAAGTCACAGGAAGACCTGTTTGCCGTGTCGCCCCTCCGCTGTCCAGCTCACAAGAAACCATCCTTGCGTCATTTTGTGGCTTCACAGGAGAGGCGTTGGACGCGGCCGTTGCCGTGGAGCGATGCCCTTGTTGAGGGCGCATGCCGGCGTTGTACGACTGCATTCGCTATCAAGCAAGGCCTGCCCTTTGGGCAAAGATTGATGACATTCGAGTCTTCGCCAGAATGACACCGCAGGGAAAGGCGCTTGTGGCAGGCAACATGTTTGCCACTACAGGATCGGCTGACCATCCTTGGACAGGCCAAGATCATCGAAGAGCTGCAGAAACAGTCAAGGCCTCCACAATCCAGTCCCACTCGCAAGGTTGCATGTCGGCTATGTGTGCATTCTGCGGCCAGGCACGTACTCATGTGCGGAGACGGCGGCAACGATGTGGGTGCACTTAAGCAGGCGGAGATTTGCTGAGTGTGAAGTCAGGGTGGTGTAGAAGAGGGCAGACTGAGGCAAGCTTGCAGTTGGGCCGGGATTTGGGGGAAGGCCGGGTGGGCTTTAACATGCCTTTGAGCGATGGGGGTGAGAGGATCGAAGGATCCTGTGGTCTCGGCAAATCAGACGTGCGCATGGTATGATCCGATGACTCTTCTGCTCCTTGAACACTGAATTTTGCTTTTGTGCGGAGATGGCCGCGAAACTTGCCTGCAAGCTTCACTGCGATCTAGGGCGCATCTTAGGGTGTCTCGGTGTCTCTTCACCGCCATCAAGTGCCCGCATACTCTTTGGGGAGCCTAGGAGGGCTGGGAGCAATTGGGATCCGCGACGTTGGCTTGTGTTGGGGTGGTTCTGAGGGGGCAGGCACGACGGGGACGATGCTGTGTGCACTACATCTTGTTGTCTCGAAGCTTTCTGCTGCAAGTCGTCGACTCCAGGCGGATGCTGGTTTGGCGCTGCTGGCTGGCTATGGCAATGCCGGAGGCTCAGGCATGCACTCTAGCACAGTAGCTGTGGCAAATTCCTTCACTCGCGGTGCGGGTCAAGGTGTCCGCAGATCTGTCTGATGTGTCTCCAGTGTGATAGCTCTTTTGATTCAAAGGCGTTCGGAGTATCCTTGTTGTGTGAGCTTCGCAATCTTTCACTGTGCCTGGTGTTTCAACTGGTTTCAGCCTCTATGTTGGTTACGCTATGCCACTTGCTTTCACTCGCTGCCTAGACAAACTATGTTTTGCTGTTTGCAGCCGCATCCAAAGGTGAATACTGCAGACACCAATGACATCGACAGTCCGTCTGATGCAAATGCCGTATGCGACAAGAAGGCTCCCTGCTATGATCTCCTCTGGTTTTCTGCGGCGGCTTGGAGAATCGCGAATCGCTTCCGAGGCCGAGGAAGCCTTAAATAAGCAAGACGCGGAAATTGCTAAACGAAACAGACGAGCTGCCAAGGACCCTTTGGGATGCGAGTTTTCTAGTTTGCTCTGGTTTGCCTGATGCATCCTGATGCTGTCAGGACAGGCAAGCCTTCTTGTGGGAAAAACAGAAGGAGCTTTCGAATCACCAGAAGGAGTGGCTCGAAGAGGAGATGCAGGTCGCCCCAGCTGCATCACCTCGCGCAGTCTCAGTCTGCGAATCTCAGGCACGCGCAAAGAACGGTGATACTGGCATTCTCGCGCAGGCCACTAGAAATTTTTGGGTGAAAGGGTGATCGCGTGCAAACCGTTACTCAGATGGGAGCGATGAAGTCATCCATGGGACGCTACACGGAAGAGCTGAAGAAGGTCATGAAGGACTTCAGCCAACAACGCTTCCATTCACTTCCCCTAACCCCTGGAAAATTTCTAGCTTTTCAGACATGGCTCAACAGCTTGTTTGCTTACGCATTAGGCATGAAGCAGTCCGGCACAAGGGCTTTTCATTGTTTCGCCATGCTTCAGAGGAATATGACAAGACTCACGGCAACGTTTACGAGTCTCGGCTTGCATCTTCGGATGCTGGCAGTGGACATGCAGCTCGGCACAACTCAAACTCGATTCCTGGACGCAACAGATACCAGGATCCGACCGAAAAGGAGAAACAGAAGCAGAATCCTACTGCTGTCAGCGCCCCGTTGCCGTGGATCTGCAATGGCTTGTGGCAAATAAATACCATGCAGGCTTTGGAGGAAGCTTCCGGTGGACTGCCCATGGTCAGGCCTGTGTGAGAGCCTGGTGTCTCGTCTTGCTGTGCAGCACTTTGATTAAAGCTCTGTGTTTTGTTTGCAACATTGATTGTTCGGAACATGAAGATATAAATGCCCCAAACTAAACAAAAACGCGCACACGCCCGCCCGCCCGCCTGCCCGCACGCCCGCAAGCCCGGCGGATCACGAATGCATGCCTGTACAGGCCCGGCCAGCACGTGCAGCAACGCAAGCGTGCCAGGCACACATGCACTGCAGGCCTGGAGATGCGTCCATTGCCGCACCATTCACGTCCAAGGCCACTGGCGTGTGGCTTTAGTCAGCAGAGCTGGATGACTTTGTCGAAACTTGGTTGCCGCAGGCGCCTTCCGTCAAGAACTGTGTCGATTTAATTCGACAAGGTCGGTGCACCCTGCTGTCGGTCAACATCTCAGTCCGAGCACGAAGGAAAATTCAGACCCTAAGTGCAGTTAGCCATGGCTTAGGCCCTCCAGCAGCAGCAAATCATGATGTCCTCGCCTCAATGAGCTTTGCACATGGCTTGTCCCGTCCAGCACAGCAGAAAAGCATGTCAAAGGCTGAACTGCATTATCAACGCCTACGTGCTCTCGGCACTGTCCTTAGAAGGCTCTCGCACATCGGAGAGGCCAGGCCGAGAACCGCTGGCACGTTGGTAAGCCAAGTGTACATCCTGGCGCGGGGCACGGAGGCAGTTGATGGCTTCTTCCTGGCTGCTGACAACAGCATCTCTTGCGTTCACATATGCCTCACCATGCCACTCAGCTCTCTTATGGGCAGTTCTTGTACGCTGAGCCTCACAAGAAGCTGATTCCGGCTGCCAGTACGAATAGCAGTCGATGTTGACGGTGTTGGATGCTTGTTGACTTGTCATTGTCATGCTGTCGTCGTTTGGCTCTTTCGCCACTTCTTCTGACCGAGGTGATCGTATGCATCCTGTCCGTCCTCTGCGGTCACTTTTTCACCCAGCCGTCTTCTTCTCCATGCTTGGACAGGCCGAATGCGACATCGCCAGCGTGAAGCAGCCATAAACAGCCATCAACTTCCGTCACATCCGGATTCCCTGGTGCATAACTGAACTAGGCGCAGGGTGCAAGAAGCCTTTGCAGAGAAGATTGCCAATGGTCCGTCCATTGGGCCCGTACGAACTAGTCGGCACATGTCGGGCTGCCTAGAGTCCTAGACCGTCCTACAAGCTTCTGGCGCCACGAGACAAACTTGACTCTCCTCTAGGGACCAGTTGCAGCATAACGAGCGGCTCCGTCATCCTCCGACCCAACCCGCGCAGTCCGCAGGCTGCGATACACCTTTTCTGCATGGTCCATCTCTCAGCTCGCATTGTTCATGTGCGCCAGTCACCGGTGATGATTGACAGGTCGCTGCCGTCAAAATGGCAAGAGCGGCAATGGAGGAAGACTCACCGGAAAGACTCGCAGGCTTCGCCGTGCCTCGCCGTTCTGCTTCTCAATGCAGGTGTCTCCTGCAACAGCTTGGCGCTATCTGGCACTTGTTCAGGCTGGTCTGGGCCGTCGTTGAAGGCCGGAACATGGCCCTGACCGTTGTCTTTGCTGTCGTTGCCGTGTGATGAGACGTTTTGCCCTGAAGAGGATGTATCAGAGTTCTGGAAGAGAGAGAGAGCCAGACGGCGTGGTTTGATTGAGCAGGACCGAGTCGTTGGAGTCCATGGCCGAATTATGCCGAGTTCATACAGCTTTCAACAGGAGGAAGAGGAGGACTGGACCACGTATGCTTTGAATATGTGGCAGCAGCCGTTCTTGCATCGATCTCAGTCGGACAGAGAGAAGAACAGGAAGCAAAGACAAACATGCGCATGAGAAGGCCAAACCTTATGAATACCGTGGTGTTTTTGGTGGAGACAGCAGCTGGCTTAAATGACAGCACCGTCTGCCATGGGCCATGAGCCTTCTCCCATCAGGCGCAGACCGTCGCCATCCTCTTCGTGAACTACAAGGTGCAAATCTTCCCCATGGCTCCTGGGGTCAAAGTCGGCGCTCTTTCAGGGCCAGCCGTGGATGAAAGGAGTTATGGAGAACCGAGCTGGCACCTCAAAGAGTGGGCTTGAAGAAGACAGCGAGAGCAGCATCCTGAGAAGCATGCTGATCCTGCCCGAGGCTTTGTTTCTCTCAGTGGTGGTCGTTGCTGGAAGCGTAGCTGCAGCAGCGCCCCAGCCTCGGATTACATGTTGCAACAATGATCTGGAATGATCGTGGATTCAATGCTTCGATGCTGCACTGTCTTCAAAGACCAAGTTGTTCTGCTGGTGATGCTGTTGTGAAACCCCGCGATATTTACAGTGTTCGAAAGATGAAAAAGGCTCCTGGCACCTGAGGTGGGAGTTCCAGCCGCACCTCAATGCCTTGATTCACTTGTCTCCTTTTCCGAATGTTCCTTGTCAATGACATGCCAGCAAATGTCAGCAGTCAAAATAGCATCTGCTTCTCTGTCAGGACCAGTTCCGCTGGCAAGTCATGGGCCTGGTTGGCATGACGCTCGCGGGCACCTTCATTTGGGACAGGTTTTGTGTCTATCTATTTGCAAGCGAGATCTTCAAGGCCCGCGCCTCACCCAACCCCAGCGGCCCCAGCGGCCTAGCGGGGGGGGGGCCCTTGTGGCCACGTTGGAGGCCATGGTGGACTCTGCCAAGAAGACAACTTTTAGAGCCGACATTGTGCCAATCTTCTTCACGGTCTTGAAGGCACCGGGATGGCAGGGACAGAGTCGCAGAAATGCATGGCATGGGCGCCTGGCACTTTGGAGGTCATGGCCTGCTTCCTGGTCCTCGGTACCGGCAACTTGCTCATGGCTGGCTTGGCCTTCTGGATGTTCTGCCCTCGCTAAGCTGCACCCTTAATCACCCGCCGGCCGCAGACTCCTGAAGGTATCGCCGCCATTCGCAGGAAGCTGACGAGTAGCCGCACATCGCAGTGCGGAGGTGGGCACGAGATGCGCACGGCACTCGCCATGGCTAGTGCGTGCTGGTGTCGCATGGTGCTGCAAGGTCGATACCTTTGTTCTTCGCCGGACCCCTCCCCTTGCAGATGCGACATTCTCGGTTGTTCAGTGCCGCAGGGGTGTTTTTTGTCTTTGCATCAGTTTACATGATCGACGGATGCAGGCCATCCTTCGATGCTCCGCTTGGCGGGTTAATGAATCCAGATGGTGGGTGATCTAGGTATCAGCCACTGCCTAGCTCTGACCTCTTCAGCAGCGTCAGAAACAAAAGTGCCGTCTGCCAGCACAGCTGGAATGTGAGTGCAGATCCAGCTCAGTTGCTTTCGCGAATGCGTTGGCGAGCATGAACCCGTGCAAGTCTGTGCACGTGACACCCAACCTAGTGGGGAGATAAGGGGAGATGTAGGAACGCAACAGCTGCACTTCTAAACTTATTACTTAGTAGTGCTTGTGCTTTCTCAAGCGATTCTCATCTGGCCGCGTGACACAGGCGCTCAGCGGTTTCATCCAGCAAGCATCCAGCCCTCATGTTTGATCGTTTGTTGCATTCGACGAGAAAGTCTTATTGATCAGTAAAGCACGGTTGTAAGTTGTTGTGGACCGCATTCGTGCTTTGTAAAGCCCTAGTCATGCTAAGGTCCCACCCTCTTCGTTGGCAACCAACTATGCTCACGGGTAACCCCCCCCTGCATGCATATCCAACGTACTATTAATTGAAAGTGTTGCCATCTGCGACAACATATGTATGGAGACAGTCTAGTTAAGTGCTCGGCGGAAGTTTATCCAATCATAACCAACGTGCATGCATGCACATGGACGGGCGGGCGGACGAGTCTCCGAAACTATAAATGGTGGTGGTTCGGAGGGCTCGCCGTGCCGAGCCAGATATTTCGATTCTGTTTGTACGCACGGCACAAAGCAGAACGAGTCGGACAGTGCATAATCGAGGAAAGAACAAGCACAACCTCACACTCTGTATCCTTCGCTCAAAGGCCACTATGTGTCAATCACCGCGTGTGAACATGTCGACCGACCAGCTCCACTTGCGCTTCAGACAAAAGAATACTTAATGAGCATGTTTGCCTGATGCAACATCTTTCTCCCACATGCAGCCATGACTGGGGTGTGTAAAAGCGCGAAGATGAGCGAATCATCTTCGAAAACATATCTTATCAATCCAAGTCTACCTTTCTTCAGGCAACTATTGACAAGGCCGCACAAACATCGGCCCATTCTGTATTTAAACGTATTGCTGGGTAGTGCAACGGCAACGCAATCATGTGTCGATGAATGGCTCGTGGCCTCCACAAGAGCGAGGCGAACGGTCAGGGGAGTTGTTGCAGGGGAGTTGTTGTGTTGTTCTTGTTGATTGTGCAGGATTGTAAACGCTTCGCGTCGTCCGCCTTGCAGATGCAGGGCCCGAAAAGACCACGAATATGGCTGCGGGGCGCGAGGGTCGAAGGGGGCCGGGGCGGGGCAGAAAGGGTGCTGGGGGGTGGGTTGCCGGGTGGGTCGGGCAAAAGTCAGCAGCTGCAAAACTGTAAGCAGTTGGCACAGTTTTCAGGTGGGGGCTTGGAAGCCAAAATCATTTTTTTTCGTTGTTATGGGGGGAGGTTGGTCATCAGGGAGGGGATGAAGGTTCAATGGAGTCAACCTCTCACCATCTCTGACCGCTTCGGCCCAGGCCGAGACGAGATTATACTGTAGAGTGCAGATGAACCCCGCAGAGGCTGTTCAATCCACTTAAGTCCTCAGGAAGACGCTTTTGGAGAGGACGACGGAGAGGACGTGTACCAGTCTCAGCAGAAGGTGATGACATACCGTTTTTCCAGCGTTCAGCTGTAGCGAACCCTCATCACAGACAATGTGCCAGGTCAGTCAACGACAAGGCCCAGACATTTGTTTCTGTTGCAGCTGTCATGCATCTTTCGGTTGGGGTTGGGCTGACAAGAGCTTACAAGCAAGGGGAAAGAAGATCTTGCAAGGCACATGTGTCAAGATCCAAAGACAAGCCCAGCAGACGCCGCAGCCTCTGCCATCAGTTTTTTCCAGCACGTTGTTTGGGTTGACCGTCGTCAGGGCGCGACAGCGTCACAAGTGCGACCCTGGGCTTCGACGACTCAGATGATTTCTGTGCGCCAACTTCTCTGCAGGTGCGTAACATATGTAGCATAGTTTGCGGATGCGACATCTTGCTTTCATGGACATTGGTGCAGAGCCGTCATTGGAAACTCGTTTCTGACAGTATACTGCGGTGTTTTTAGCCGTGGGCGAGGAAGGATGGTTTGTTTGTAGGCCCCGTGCAGGAACATCGAGCTTGCTGTGCTTCCAGTTCGGTACTCCTTGAATGTTACTCGAGTGTGTCTTGAGTGCAGCAAGTCTTTGACCGCGTAGAGCCTCCAAACGTTTCTAAGCCGTGGGTTCTTTGAGCATCCATGCACCGACGAAGTGTTTAGCTGGAGGGTTGTTCTGCTGCTTTCGCGTGTAGCCCGAACTTGCCTTTAAGCACCGTTACGCCGTTGCTCGCTTCGCAGCATATGTAATTTTAACGCTACGCCGCCCGCCTCGGCTACTGAGGGGCAGAGGGCACGGGACACACGGCGGTAGCGTTGGTGCATGTCCGCAGCAGAAGCCCAGAGCGCACCAACAGCCTCTTCAAATGTTACCTGCCTGTTA